CACCCTTAGATACGGCTTCCTGCTGCTGATGAAATATCCTGAGGTGCAAGGTGAGGGAGGGGAGGGAATGCATGCAGTCCTCCCCCCACCCCATCCAGCTGTGTCTGGGTTCTTGGGAACCCCCAGCCTGTGGTGGTGGGCTAAAGCTCTCCCCCATTTTCGGTGCTCCAGCCAACAGCGTTCAGAGGTAAACCATCCATCCCAAGAGGTGAAGGCCCAGCCGTGTTGGAGTTTAAATGTTACGGCTGTTTAGAAATGAGCAATCTGAGGAACTAATCTTATCGATTACATTTGACAGCCAAGATGCATGAGGAAATTGACCGAGTGATCGGCCATAGCCGGGGCCCCAACATTGAAGACCGGAGTCGAAGGCCTTACACAGACGCCGTGATCCACGAAGTGCAGAGGGTCAGCGACCTCATCCCCATGGATCTGGCTCACACGGTGACCCGTGACACGGAATTCAGAGGCTACGTCATCCCTAAGGTACAAATGGAGGGGAGAGCTCACAAGACTGAGGAAAGGTCCACACAGAGCCCTTGTTTACGAATGGAAGGCACCTTCAACCAACCCAAAATTTGCCTGCGGAGATTTCTTTCAGTGTTGAATATAGTGGAGTCAGATATATGTATTTGAAAAGAGGGATAAGCTTTTTCAAGGAAGTTCCACCTACAGAAATACAGAGGTTTTGGGCATGTGGGGAGCGGGGACGTGGCCTCACGTGAACCCTTGCTTGCCTTCCTCAGGGAACCGAAATCTACCCGATGCTCAGCACCGTCTTGCACGACCCCACCAAGTTCAAAACCCCCAATTCTTTCAACCCAGAGAACTTCCTGGATGAGAACGGGCGCTTCCTGAAGAACGACGCCTTCGTGCCTTTCTCCTCAGGTACAGCCCTCCTTAACAGTGGGTCTCCATGGAGCAGGAAAATCAGATGTAGCCAGGTGGGCCCAAGACAGGATCCCTCTTCCATGCTGGAGCGAGGCCAGCTAGGAAAAGGAGGCAGAAATCTAGAGCCTTTAGCGCCAGCATGGTCTTAGAACTTTCTGGAAGTAAGGAGGCTCTTTAGCCTTGCCAATGTGTTGCAGGAGAGATGAGACCAGAGTGTCTGAAGCCTAGCCTTCTGTGTCTGCCCCATGTTCTGACCCAGCCTCCCAAAACTGCGGACCTACGAGAGTATAAAAGCTAAGCAAGAGAAGCCTAATTACCTGGATGTTCTGCAGGAGGTGTCCTGATCCCCAAACTCCTCGGGCCCTTCCTGGCTGACTTTGCTCCTCTTTCCTTCGCAGGGAAGCGGATCTGTCTGGGAGAAGCCTTGGCCCGCATGGAGCTCTTCCTCTTCTTCACCACCATCCTGCAGACCTTTCGGCTGAAGCCCCTCGTGGCCCCCCAGGACATTGACATCACTCCCCAGGAGAGCGGCTTTGCCAACATCCCACCCTTTTACCAGTTCTGCATCGTCCCACGCTGAGTGGGGAGAGACCAAAGCTGATTCTCCCAGTCACTTGTATTGATCAGATTCTGGCCCTCTACCATTTCCTGGATTCTCAGATCTCTAATGGGAGACAGAAGTGGTTCTTCTTGTTGGCTCCTTGCAAGGGCGTTTCTGCTTTTAAATGGCTTCCTCTTTCATCTCAACAGAGGGAATAATGTTGTAAGAGGTGCATTTCACAGATGGGCAGGAAAGTCCCTCTTTTAAGCCATGGAAGCCTTTTCCTAACCCTGATTTTTGTATGTGCTGTGTATAAAATAGATACGCACTGACTTTCTTACCAACCAGCCACAATCTCCGTACTTTGATATCTGCATTTTGATACCATGTATAAATATTTACAGTCTTAAACCACTTTCTCTTATGTTGGATGAAGTGCATTCATCCAGGAAAGCTCACGTTAAAAAATAGATAAGTTAGTCTTTAAGATGCCACCACATTTTTGTCTTTTCTTTTAACTTTTTATTCCTATTATGCTTTTACCTATAATGCTTGCACTGAATAACAGGGCTACAGCTAAAATAGACATGTTTATATGTAAGCCTTAAGATAGTTTTGAAAATATACATATATATTTTCAAACTGTGCATTTAGCATTTGTTGATCATATGATTGTGCCACATTAGTTCTTACATCATGCCACTTCATTTCTTAACACAGACCTTATATATTTCTTTACAAATGTTGCTGGTTACATTTCCAGGCTCCCTTTCCAGGAACAGGCAAGGCAGCCTACAAACATCGTTCCAAGTGGATTAAAAAGACGCTTGAAAGCAAAATGTTTGCTGAAGTGGACGCTTTGAAAGATTGACGAATCACACCTTTTTAATCCACACTGTAGAGGTTGCCCAGACCAGCCTCCAAGGGAGGGGTCTCTGGTCTTTCCTCCTTGCTCTGCCCCTGCTTCCTTGCTTCCCCAGGGGTCACCTTGGCCAATCAAGCGTGCTGGAAGGAACTGCACCAGCCCTCCTTCTCTCTGTCTGGAGGTCTTTTGGAATTGGGGTGGGGTGGGGAGAGAGAGGAGTGAATCCAGGAAGGGGCCCACTTCCTGCTTGCAAGATTGTCCTGTAGAGCCAGGTCTGCCCCGTCTCCTCTCCTGCACTGGGTGAAAAGCAGCACCAAGACCTCCTTTCGGTCCTGGCCAGGAGACCATGCAGCTCTGTCACCCGTACAGACAGCAAGAGGCAGCGATTGTTCCTTCATTTCTTTGCACCATACCATATTTGCCTAGTCAATGCCGGCCGGGTCACACCTCACAGGTCTGTTGCCTTGGAAGTGGTTGAGGTTGCTATTTCATCACCCCTGACCTCATCCGTTTTCGGTGATAAAGCGAGAGCCATTTGCTGATCAGTTTAGGTTTTGCATGAGAAAAGGCAGGTTCTCTTTTGTCGATCACCTGGAGCAACTGAAAGTCTGGGTCCACCCTGACCCCAAACCAGCAAGACAGAGAATTTCGCCAAACCTGAAATGAACAAGAGAGTTAAAGAAAAGAACACATGTTTGCACACAGTTATAAAGGCGGAACAAATGGACTGCGTCACTGAAGCACGATCCGAAGTTGTAGGTGCATGATCGGGTGAATGGCTGGGTGGGATGCCTCTCCTTAGAAAGGCTCTGGGACCAACAACACACAAGATGGTTGGCAGCAAGCATCACCTCCTGGGTGTTTGGCGCCTGCCTTGGCAGAAGCTCAGAGGCCCGTCGCTCAGATCCCCATGCCTGCCACCACTGTGGCACCCGTAAAGAAAAGAACACATGTTTGCACACAGTTATAAAGGCAGAACAAATGGACGGTGTCACTGAAGAACGATCTGAAGTTGTAGGTGCATGGTCGGGTGAACGGCTGGGTGGGATGTCCCTCCTTAGAAAGGCTCTGGGACCAACTACACACAAGATGGTTGGCAGCAAGCATCACCTCCTGGGTGTCCGGCGCCTGCCTTGGCGGAGGCTAACACATGTTTGCACACAGTTATAAAGGCAGAACAAATGGACGGTGTCACTGAAGAACGATCTGAAGTTGTAGGTGCATGGTCGGGTGAACGGCTGGGTGGGATGTCCCTCCTTAGAAAGGCTCTGGGACCAACTACACACAAGATGGTTGGCAGCAAGCATCACCTCCTGGGTGTCCGGCGCCTGCCTTGGCGGAGGCTCAGAGGCCCGTCGCTCAGATCCCCATGCCTGCCACCACTGTGGCACCCGGGGCCTTGACCCCCCGGCATTTAGACCAGCTACCTTTCTAGTATGAGGGACACCTGCAGAGGGGGCAAAGGGCCAGGCTTAAGGCTCGGCGCCTGTCCCTTGAAGGCTTCTCGCTTGGAGGGAAGGGCGGCAGAGCTGAGAAGAGGCCAGAGCCGGGTGGTCCCAATGCCTCTCCAGGCGAGGCAAGGAGCTGTCCTTGGTGCTTAACCTTCCGGCTGCCCTGCTGGCCCTGCTCTGGGGTCTTCCCAGACCCACCCGGAATATGTGACACACAAGAAACGTCCCTCGTCAGGACAGCAAGGTGGCATTATTCATACAGCGCATTCGGATGAAACAGGGATTAGGGACAGATCAGGGTTTTTAAAATGAATTGTAGTATCTTACTGCTTTGAATGTGTTGTGTTGTTGCTTACGGGTTTTTTCCCCCCTATTGTATGCATTGGTCCTTTTAGTATTGAATACTCATTGTTACTAACTTAACTACTACCTTTTAATTGTTGTGAACCACCTTGTGTCTTTTTTAAGGAGAAAGGAAGATTAAAAAAGACATACATACATACATACATACATACATACATACATACATACATACATACATACATACATACATACATAAAATTGGTGTGTGATTCTTGTTTTAATAGTGGCTTTTGCCATGTTTAGTGGGGCTGCTAGGACTCCCTAGGCAATTTCCAACAGAGTAATATAGTTTTTTTTAAGGCAGCCACGAAAGCAGCAAAATCAGGGAGCTAGACAGGGTACAGACTGTATTTGTCCTCAGTGTGGAAGGGATAGTCACTCTCGAACTGGTCTTCTCAGCCACACGAGACGCTGTTCCAAGTCCTCGATACAGAGCACGATACCATAGTCTCTCGAGACTGAAGGATGCCTACGATGTAGTTAAAAACTGATGAAAACTCACATCCTCTTTTTGAGGAAAAAAAGGCAGTTCACCACTGAAATGCAATTACTGTAAAATTGTACCTACACAACATTTACTATTGATGCTGCTGGTGATTTGTTGTAGTTGTTTTTCTTTTTTTTACAGGGCATTTACAGGGCATTGCTTTGGTTTCCAACCTTCCACATTCTCGGGACTGAGAAAAATAAACAGACTTTCTAACTGCTGAAAGACAGAACGTTCCTGGAGCTACTGTGGGTCAAATACTCACAATGTTCATTAAGTAGGAAAAGGGTTGATCAAATTGGCCCTTCATTCAAGGATTACACACTTGGCATGCTTGCTTCATGCAGTTATATAACACAGAAGGCGGGGTCAAATCCAGACCCAATAAAACCCAGAGAACCCAAGAAAGGAAGATGGGACTAGAGCCCACGCCTTGGAGAACCAGTTCTGTCCTCAACCCACGGCATGGAGGTCTCCAGTGCTGTCACCCTCTTCTTGGTCACTTACTTCTGCTTCCTGGTGGCCATTTCTCTTAAGAAGAAGCTGACACAACGGGGCCAACTGCCCCCTGGCCCCACTCCCCTGCCTTTGATTGGGAATTTCTTCCAGATCAAGTCATCGGAAACCTTGAAATCTCTCCTCAAGGTGAGTGAGCGTCCCTTGGAAAGGAAGTGGATGAAGATTCAACAAGACGCTGGGGTGTGTGTGTCTCCTTATGCACCTTCCCTCTACTTGGCTTGTTCTGTGGGGGTTTCAGTGGATTCATCCTTTCCCTTTGACCCTCCCCTCCCCAGCCACAATCTTCCTGGGGGGGCAGGATCAGCTTTTGCTGACCTTTTGTTCATCCTCTTATCATCGACTCTTAACTCTATGACCCTTGAAAACCTACTACCAGTGACTAATCTGATGAAAAGCTGCAGTTTGCACACGTATTGTATGTTATGGCCCAGCAGAACGTCCTCAAGACGGAACTTCACAGTGTGTCTGCCTTGCTGAGGAGTCAAACGCAGCTAAAAAGTCTGAGTGCTCCCAGATAATGTTTCAATTGTTCTCAGAATAAAATTCTCGGGAGAGTCATTCAGAGTGCAAACCAGGACGGGAGATTTGAGATGTTGCCAACCTCCACTAGGAGGTGGTTTTCCTATCAAAAAGTTCTCTCTCTCTCTCTCTCTCTCTCTCTCTCTCTTCTTTTTTCTTGTTTTCCTGCCATGGAGAGCCTGTGAAAGAAAGGGGGGGAAGAGACATGAAGAGAAGCGGGAAGGATAGCGATTGGTCCGCTAACTTACGAGTAGGAGTGAACGGAGTCACTTTCTAGGTGGGGCTGCCAATGGAAAGTGTCAGGAAACTTCTGCAGGTCCAAAATGCGGCAGCCAGATGGCTGACTGGGGCTGTTTGCAGGGATCCCATTAACCCCTCACCCACCCACCACCCTTGTTACAGCAGCTCCACTGGCTGCTGATCTGTTTCTGGGCACAATTCAAAGTTTTAACCTACAGAGCCCTAAATCGCCCGGGTCCAAGCTGTCTCAAAGACTGTTATCTCTCATTATGAGCCGGTTTGGGTGTTAAGATCATCAGGAGAGGCCTTTTGCTTGGTCCCTCCACCTTCCACCATGTGTTTAATGGAGACATGGGAGAGGCCCTTTTCTGCGGCTGCTCCCACTCTCTGGAACTGCCTCCCATGGGCACTAAGGCTGGCCCCACATGAGGGACTGGCCACATGAATAACCTCTAGATGGATCGTTATGCATTACTGCTCTGACTGGATCATTAGTACTGCTTGTGTTTTACCATCTCTCAGAGTGGTGTTTGTTTCTCCCTTTTTAGTATTTGCATACTTATTGTTTTGGCTTTAATATTGACTTTTTATGAAGTAAGCTGCCTCTTTATACCCATCGTTCTTAGCTTTATATATAGTCTTTCAATGATGTAAGCCACCTTAAGGCCTTTTTAAGAAGAAAGGCAGAGTGGAAACTCTCTTAAATATATAAATAAGTAGCACTAGAGATCTTCTACATGGAAGCAACCCATAAAATGCATTCTATATTCTAAGTGGAAATAATGGCAGAATAAGGAGGAGGAGGAGGAGGTTTAATTTCCAAACAGATCTTTGGTAACAAACATTCAGCATTCAATGTGAAACACGTCCAGCATTCAGGAAGTGTAACAATATACAGGTTAAGAACCACAACTGCAAATTTTATGTCCAGAAGAATTTCAAAATCATAAATTAGTGCAGCTCTAAGATACTTCATGAGAGGTCCTGCTTGTATAATGGGGGTCTCCTTTCTCATGAAAGGAAAGAAGCAATTTGGGAAGGTGGGGTTAATCAGGAAAATGATAAGTGGAGAAAGGCTTCAGTGGACATCCTAGTCCTGCTGCTGCTCTGGATAAAACTAAAAGTGCTCTAAAGACCCAGTCTAAGTTGGGGAGACAGTTTCTTCCTAGAAAGGCCCAACAACTGCAGGGGGACTCTGATCCTCGACTCCCTCCACCTGAACTCCTTGGGGACAAGGTTGTTTCCAAAGGCAAAAATTGCCCTCTGTCAACAATAACGCCTTAAACAACATCAAGTGTACAGAACTGGGCATACGGCCAGTTTACGCAAGCTTTCTCAATAACAAAACCTTATCTTCTGCCAAAGTGAAATGGGGAAAAAATTGGTTAGTTTTAAGTATTTTTCCTTTGCAGCTACGGGACAAATATGGCCCTGTGTTCACCGTCTATTTTGGAAGTCGTCCGATTGTGGTCCTGTGCGGACACGACGCTGTGAAAGAGGCCCTGATAGACAAGGCAGAGGAATTCAGCGGGAGGAAAACCAACCCAACTCTGGACCAGACCTTCAAGGGATATGGTGAGATGTCTCATTGGCCTCACAGTAATGACGTCCAATTGGCCTGGTCTTTCCTGGTGGCTCTTCCACTTTGTTCCTGCTTCCCTAGGTGTCGTATTTTCTACTGGAGAGCGCTGGAGGCAACTGCGCCGGTTCTCCCTCACCGTCTTGAGGAATTTCGGAATGGGTAAAAAGTCCATTGAGGAGCGAATCCAAGAAGAGGCCCAGTTCGTGCTGGAGGAATTTAAGAAAACCAAAGGTGAGAAGTTGGGGGTGGGTGACAGGGAGGGGTTCTGGCTCATCTGGCCAGCGAAAGAAATGCAAGCCTAGAGACAGGAAAGGCTGGGCTGTGGAAGGTTTCCTCCACCAACACCACGAAAAGTTGATGACAACTTTGGTTATGAAGTCAGAGGACAGGAGAGAAGGATTATAGATGGAAAGTGCTACTATATATTTGACAGTAATTATGGCAGTGTAGTGTGATGGCAGAAGAGTAAAAGGGAAGGAAAATCAAAATGTAGGTGGGAGAGGGTTGTTTTTTTCCGTCACTCCACATTCACTCATCCCTTCTCTGATTTTCCAAAGTCTTCGGTCCAAATCGGTTGGACTACAACTCCCATCGTTACTAGATATCTAGACAGCACTCCATGAGGGTAAATTGTTCCGGGCACTGTAGACATCTTCAGGGCAGTGAGTCTTCCTCTCTTGTCCTCCAGGGAAGCCCTTTGACCCCACGTTTTTCCTGAGCCGGGCCGTCTCCAACGTCATCTGCTCCATCGTCTTTGGAGATCGCTTTGACTACGAAGACAAGGAATTCCAGTCCCTTATGGAAATGATAAACAACAGCTTTAAAAAGATGAGCAGTGCCTGGTCCCAGGTACTCCAGCATTCCTTCCATTACCAGGTGGGGAGGGGGAGCGGGACGAAGGCTGCCCCCAGACCAAAAGGTTCTGCTCTCTGAGAAACAGATTCCATCCTCACAAAAATGCCCATCCATATGGCCCTCCTGGTATGCATGCAGCATTTCAGAAGCATGAACGGTCTTGGATGTACAGCACACACAGAGAAACAGACAAGAATCTTTTTATTACAATAGATTCGTGTGTAAAAGATAACGTTGGGATCTTTGTTCTGGGAATTAAAAATTAGAAAATTCATCAAAGCAGGTGAACTCTAACTGAATACGGTGCTTTTTTTTCATGATGCTGTGAAGTTCTACGACATCTATGCCAGTTTCCTCCAGTACTTTCCGGGACCCCACACCCAAGTCTATGACATTCTGGAAGAGATGAGGCTCTTTGTTGCCCGGAGGGTGAAGCAGAACCAGAAGAACCTGGATCCCAACTGCCCACAGGACTTCATCGACTGCTTCCTCATCCAGATGGAAAAGGTACGGAAAAGGGTTGGTCAGTTGAAAAGTGGTAGGACAATGGATGCCTTGTGACTAGAGATGGACACAAATTGGCAAAGTGGAGATTCGTCTTGATTCGTGATTCATCGAGGTGCATGAATCGCGAATCACAAATTTTCAAATTTTTGTAGAATCAATCATAAATCAATTTGTTGGGCCTATAAAATGGCTCCCTCAGCACCCAGAGACAACAAATTCACCTGGAATCTTCCCCTGATTCTCTTCTACAATCCCTCCAAGTTTGGTGAATTTTGGGTTTTAGACCTCCATATTATATATCCACAAATTAGGTACCGCAGGAAAGTGCCTTTTGGCAGCTAGCTTGGGTGTCTGGCAAAAATGGTGTGAAAACAGAATAAAAAAACAGGCAAACAAAGTGACATATATTGCTAAAAATTTGTTGTTTTGCATTCATTGGGGTTGTTGCATCTGATGAATACAAAGTGACAAATTAGCCATTTTTGACAAATTCTTTCCCATCTCTACTTGTGAGAAATAGTCATAGAAGGACATGGGACTTGTTTACTTATTCTGCTCTAGGTCTCTGGGAATTCTTACCAGATAGTTCATCATATTTAGAAACATAAAGGAGAGCGGGGGATTACTATCTGATGTCAAGCTAGGCAGATGTTCAACCCCAGCAGCCCAAACCATTGGTAATTGGAATCTGAGTCTTCTGGGAGTTGTAGACCAAGAATATCTGAAGGTCCAGGTCTGGGAGGCACTAAGCTTAAAGAGACAGACTTGAACCTGCTAGTTAATTTAGCTGTCTCCTTTATAGCTAACCCTTGTTCCTGATGGTAGGTCAGTTTTATTTTATGTTTTTATTTTGCCTTCAGGAAAAAGACAACCCGGACAGTGAATTCCACATGAAGAACCTGGAGCTCACCACCCTCAACCTGTTCTTTGCCGGGACAGAGACAGTCAGCTCCACCCTCAGATACGGCTTCCTGCTGCTGATGAAATATCCTGAGGTGCAAGGTGAGGGAGGGGAGGGAATACATTCAGTCCTCCCCCCTCACCATCCGGCTGTGTCTGGGTACTTGGGAAACCCAGTCTGGGTTGGTGGGCTAAAGCTCTCCCCCATTTTCGGTGCTCCAGCCAACAGCGTTCAGACATAAACCAACCATCCCAAAAATCAAAGGCCCAGCCGTGCTGGAGATTAAAGATTACTGCTGTTTAGAAATGAGCAATCTACTACTGTAATGTAATCTTATTGATTACGTTTGACAGCCAAGATGCATGAGGAAATTGACCAAGTCATCGGCCGTAGCCGAGCGCCAAATATCGAAGACCGGAGCCGAATGCCATACACCGATGCTGTCATCCATGAAGTGCAGAGATTCAGCGACCTGATCCCCATGAACGTTGCTCACATGGTGACCCGTGACGTAGAATTTAGAGGCTACCTCATCCCACAGGTAGAGGGGATGAGGGGAAATCATAACAGTGACCAAAAAGCCCACACAGAACCATTGTTTACAAACAAAATGTACCTTAAAACAACCCCCACAATTGACTGTGGAAGTCTCTTTAGATGCTGGATATTGTGGGGGCAGGTATGTGCATTAGAAAAGATGAGTGATAACCTTTCTCAAGGAACTGGCATATTAGAAACTGAATTTCCATGTACAGAAATACAGAGGTTTGGGGCATGTGGGGAGCGGAGACGTGGCCTCACGTGAACCCTCGCTTGTCTTCCTCAGGGAACCGAAATCTACCCGATGCTCAGCACCGTCTTGCACGATCCCACCAAGTTCAAAACCCCCAATTCTTTCAACCCAGAGAACTTCCTGGATGAGAACGGGCGCTTCCTGAAGAACGACGCCTTCGTGCCTTTCTCCTCAGGTACAGCCCTCCCTAGAAGTGGGTCTCCATGGAGCAGGAAATCAGGGGTACCCATGTGGGCCCAAAACAGGATCCCTCTTCTATGCTAGAGTGAGGCCAGCCAGGAAAAGGAGGCAGAAACCCAGAGCCTTTAGCGCCAGCTTAGAGTCCCTTGAGGGGAATTCTTGAGATGTTCTGCAGGAGGTGTCCTGATCCCCAAACCCCCCAAAGTTCTTCCTGGCTGACTTTGCTCCTCTTTCCTTCTCAGGGAAGCGGATCTGTCTGGGAGAAGCCTTGGCCCGCATGGAGCTCTTCCTCTTCTTCACCACCATCCTGCAGAGCTTCCGTCTGAAGCCCCTCGTGGCCCCCCAGGACATCGACACCACTCCCCAGGAGAGCGGCTTTGCCAACATCCCACCCTCTTATCAGCTCTGCATCGTCCCACGCTGAGTCGGGGGAGACCAGAGACTCTCTCTCTCTCTTAGATGGGGTCCTCTTCCATTTCCTGGATTCTCAGATCTCTAGTGGGAGACAGAAGTGGTTCTTCTTCTTGGCTCCTTGCAAGGGCGTTTCTGCTTTTAAATGGCTTCCTCGTTCATCTCCAGCGGTTACGCCTTCTGGGAATAGGAGCATCTGACACCCTGGGAAGGAAGGTCCCTCTTTTGAGCCATGGAAGCCTTTTCCTAACCCTGATTTTTGTATGTGCTGTGTATAAAATAGATAGCCACTGACTTTTTTTTTTTTTACCAACCAGCCACAATCTCTGTACTTTGATCTCTGCATTTTGATACCATGTATAAATATTTACCATCTTAAACATCTTTCTTTTATGTTTGATGAAGTGCACTCATCTAGGAAAGCTCACATTAAAGAATAGAAAAGTTAGTCTGTGCATTTAGCATTTGTTAATGCTACTATTGTACCACATTATTTCTTACATCATGCCACTTCATTTCTTAATACAGACCTTATATTTCTTTACAAATGTTGCTGATTACATTTCTAGGCTCCCTTTCCAGGAACAGGCAAGGCAGCCTACAAACATTGTTCCAAGTGGATTTAATAGACGCGTGAAAGCAAAAAAGTGTGCTAAAGTGGACGCTTTGCAAGAATGAGGAACCACACCTTTTCAATCCGCACTGTAGAGGTTGCCCAGACCGGCCTCCAAGGGAGGGGGGTCTCTGGTCTTTCCTCCTTGCTCTGCCCCTGCTTCCTTGCTTCCCCAGGGGTCGCCTTGGCCAACCGAGCGTGCTGGAAGGAGCTGCACCTGTCCTCCCTCTCTGTCTGGAGGTCTTTTGGAATGGGGGGGGGAGAGAGGAGTGAATCCAGGAAGGGCCCCACTTCCTGCTGGCATCTCTGTCTGGAGGTCTTTTGGAATTGGGGGGGGGGAGAGAGAGGAGTGCATGCAGGAAAGGCCCCACTTCCTGCTGGCGGGATTGTCCTGTAGAGCCAGGTCTGCCCCGTCTCCTCTCCTGCACTGGGTGAAAAGCAGCACCAAGACCTCCTTTCGGTCCTGGCCAGGAGACCATGCAGCTCTGTCACCCGTACAGACAGCAAGAGGCAGCGATTGTTCCTTCATTTCTTTGCACCATACCATGATGCTCAAATGTGTTTACGTATTTTGTCAGTATAGGCAGACTCACACCTGAAATGTAGTTGAGGGAATTATTTCATCATCTCCAATCTCAACCATTGTTGGTAACGAAGGGAGAGTCATTTGCTGATCAATTTAGCTCTTTTATGAGAAAGGGCAAGTTCTCCTTTTTCATTCAGCTGGAGCAACCAAGGTCTGGGCCCACCTCTGACCCTAAACCAGCAGCCCGGGAATTACATCAAACAAGAAATGAGAGTGAGAGTTAAAGCTTGGAAAAAACATGTTTGCTCACAGTTAAAAATGGCACCGACAGACAGAAATGCCTCTTTGAAGAATCATCTGAAATTCTGGGTAGGTGCATAGGGTATCCTATCCCAACTCCACACAAAATGGTTCACAGAAAACATCACCTAGGCAGGGGCTCAGTTGCTGAAGGACCCGTGGCGGAGATCCCCTCCAAACCAGGCAGACCTGAAACTCCAGAGCCTTTCACCCTGTATGCACCACAAAGACATACACACACACACACCTGAGACCTTCCCTGCTTAGAACAACTGTGGCAACCTGGGGATTGATCTCAACATTGAGACCAGCTATCCTGCTCTAGCAGCACACCTAGTAAGAAGGGCACCTGTGGAGGTGGCCAAGGTCCAGGCGGCAGGCTTGAAAACTCTCCCTTGAAGCCTAGAAGAGGGAGAAGCCCTGAGCCGGGTGGTAGAAGAGGTCCCAGGACAGCCCTATCCAGGGTGAGGAGCTGTCCCTGGTGCTGAACCCCCTCACTGCCCTCCTGACGCTGCTCTGCTCTGGGGTCTTCTCAGACCCACCCTGAACGTGACATATAGGAAGCTTCCCTCTCCATGTAAATATTAGCTAGAGGAGCAAAGGAAATCAGGATCTTAGTGGAGAGTAAAAAGTACGCCAGGATTGATAAGACTCTCTTCAACACTTTGTATTTTTGGAACAACGGTGCAAATTTGGGGTGACTTCTGTCCATTTATAGCTTGGGAGGGAAGCTTCCAACATGTGGCCTTCTGGGGTGCTCTTTGGCCAAAATCGGTCTGCTTTGGTGTCCAAGGCCAGCAGAAGAGGGACTTCCTTCCTTCCAGTTCTTATTTGTTGCCTGGTGTCTATAACGTGGCCTAGGGGTTTCCAGCTGCCCCTACCAGGTTGTACCGTGGGCTACAAGAGGGAGAGGGGGTGGCCGATACTGGCAGAAACAACACAACCAATGTAGAAATGTACAACAGGTTTCTCATCAGTGCGTCTGTGAGCCACTGATTCGATTTTGACGATGCTGAAAGCATACATTTAGCTAGCCTTTCAGTGATTATAGGTCTGCTATTTTTGAATGGGAGCCAAACAGTAAAATTTCTTTTAAAAATCTACTTTCTCTCCACCCTAATCTATCATTCTGATCTAGATGGTTACTTCTCTCACACCCATACATCTGTTGCTTACTTGGTGAAGTAAGAATGATGTGTGCATCTTATTTAAAGAGGTTGTTCATCCCCTTTCTACCCACTAGGACTGTCCCGGCAATGTCCAATAGAGTAGCACAGTTAAAAACTGATTATTTTTTAAATAAAAGTGCTTTAAATCTGTTTTTTAGTTTAGTGAAACTAAAAAAACAGATTTAAAGCACTTTTATTTTTTTAAAAAAATTCAAACCAATCTAAAAAGGCCAGTTTTTAAAATGCACTGCTCAAGATCAAAGTCCCTTTGGAGCAGTCCAGCTTTACACCTCTGTCACAAGGGCAAGAACCTGTATTTCCCTAGAGGTGATTCCAGCATCTAAGGAAGAATTTGGCCCTCGGTCTTCTCCCACCATGGGCACACCTGTGCTTGGTTGTAGGCTCTTGGCTTGGGCTGAAGTAAAAACTCATATCCTCCTTTTGAGGAAAAAAAGGCAGTTCGCCACTGAAATGCAATTAGAATTGTACCTACACAACATTACTATTGTTGCTGGTGGTGATTCGTTGTATTTGTTGCTTTTTACAGGGCATTGCTTTGGTTCCCAACCTTCCATATTCTCAGGATTGAGGAAAATAAACAGACTTTCCAACTGCAGGCAAACAGGACATAAATCTAGAGCTCCTGTGGGTCGGACACTCACAATACTGATTAACCAGGAAAGGGTTGATCAAATTTGGCTCCCGTTTCCAGGATTATGCATTCAATATGTTTGCCACACACAGTTATATAACACAGAAGGCGGGGTCAAATCCAGACCCAATAAAACCCAGAGAACCCGAGGAAGATGGGACAAGTGCCCACACTTTGGAAACAGACTCGAACTAGTTCTCTCCTCAGCCCACGGCATGGAGTTCTCCAGTGCTGTCACCCTCTTCTTGGTCACTTACTTCTGCTTCCTGGTGGCCATTTCTCTTAAGAAGAATCTGACACAACGGGGCCAACTGTCCCCTGGCCCCACTCCCCTGCCTTTGATTGGGAATTTCTTCCAGATCAAGTCATCGGAAACCTTGAAATCTCTCCTCAAGGTGAGTGAGCGTCTGTTGGAAAGGAAGTAGATAAAGATTCAATGAGACGCTGGGGCGTGTCTCCTTATGCACCTTCCCTCTACTTGGCTTGTTCTGTGGAGGCTTCAGTGGATCCATCCTTTCTCTCTCACTTTGACCCCCCCCTCCACAAGTCGTGTGCCTGTTCTCTTCCTCTCGTTTCCTAGCTGTGCTTTCCCGAGCCACTCCAACCAAACCCTCACAACCATTTGTCTCTCTTGTCTTGTCTGTCTGTTTATCTGTCTTCTTCTTTTGCTTTTTTTTTTTCCTGATGTGGACAGTCCATGAAGAAGAGGGAAGAAAAAAGAGACATAAAGAGAAGTAGGAAGAACAGCTCTTGGTCCATTTAGTGATGGGTAGGGACGAGGTGAGGGATGTGGTGGTGCTGTGGTCTAAACTGCAGAAACCTCTGTGCTGCATGGTCAGAGGACCAGCAGTCATAAGATCGAATCCACATGGCGTGAGCTCCCGTCGCTTTGTCCCAGCTCCTCGCCAACCTAGCAGTTCGAAAGCATGCAAATGCGAGTAGATAAATAGGTACCACCTTGGTGGGAAGGTAAAACGGCGTTCCCTAGTCATGCTGGCCACGTGGCAACAGAAACTGTCTTCGGACAAGCACTGGCTCTACGGCTTGACAACGGGATGAGGACCACCCCCTAGATTCGGACACGACTGGACTAAAAATGTCAAGGGGAACCTTTACCTTTACCTTTAGGGTCGAATGGAGTAGCCGTCTGCTGTCTTTTCACGGGAAGTACTTGGAATCTTCCACCTGAAACCTCTCCATAGAATGATTTCTATATTTTACATGGAAATAACAGCAGAATAAGAAGGAGGAGGAGGAGGAGAATTAATTTCCAAACAGATCTTTTGTAACAAATGTTCAGCATTCAAATGTGAAGTCCTTCCAGTTTTCAGGAAATGTAACAATATGCAGGTTAAGTACTATGCTTGCAAATTTTACTTCAAGAAGCATCTCAAAATCATGAATCAGTGTAATTCTAAGGTATTTCAGGGGAGGTCCTGCTTGTATAATCGAGGCGTCTTTTCCCCAAAAACAGCTTGGCGAGATGGTGTTGATCAGGAAAATGGTAAGTGGGGAAAGGGTTAAGCAGGACATCCTAGTTGGGCTATTATTCTGGAGAAAATTGCTCTCATGATTCCAGTCTAAGACTGGAAGGCAGTCTCTTCCCCATCAACCCACAGGCTCTGTAACTGAATGGGAACTGTGATCGGAGATTCACTCCACTTCGGACAATGGTGTTTCAAAAGGGCAGAATGGCTATCTGCCTACAATAATGCCTCACACAATGTCAAATAGACAGAACTGTCCTGAAGGATCATTGACAAGGCATATGGCCAGTTCACACAAGCTTAGTCAATAGCGAAACCTTCTATAAAAGCCAAACTTGGGGGGGGGGGACGGGATTGCTTCCAAGTACTTTGCCAGTGTTTGATACAGGAAATTTCTGAACAATGTGGCCACCATGAAATCATGTGCTGAATGGCTTCTTGGCATGGGTCACTTCTCTCTGGTTAAAGAAAGAAGGGAGAGCAGGTTGTCCAATGAAAACAGAATGTCTTCTCCTTTGCAGCTGAGGGACAAATATGGCCCGGTCTTCACCGTCTATTTTGGAAGTCGTCCGATTGTGGTCCTGTGTGGACACGATGCTGTGAAAGAGGCCCTGATAGACAAGGCAGACGAATTCAGTGGGAGGAAAACCAACCCGACCCTGGAGAGGACCTTCCAGGGATATGGTGAGATGACCCAGCTGCACCCTCTGTTTCCTCTTTTTCCCAGTTGCTGTTCCATTTCTTTCCTCTTTTATCGACTGTGTTTTGTGCTGCCAAGCTGGAAAAAAACTGACAATGAACCAAATAGGACTTTCAAGATAAGTGAGATACTTCAGGAGTGGTTATACCAGTTTCTCTCCAAAAGTCACTTTCCATGGCTGAGCATGGATTTGAACCCTGTTCTCCAGAGTCCTTGTCCACCATTCAATCTACTACACCACACTTGAAATCTCTTTCTAGGGGAGGCCTTTTCTAACGGAGCGCGCTGGAAGCAACTGCGCCGGTTCTCTCTCACCGTCTTGAGGAATTTTGGGATGGGGAAAAAGTCCATTGAGGAGCGAATCCAGGAAGAGGCCCAGTTCCTGCTGGAGGAATTTAGGAAGACCAAAGGTGAGATGTTTTTGGGGGGTGACAGGGAGGGATTCAGGTTCATCTGGCCAGGGAAAGAAATGCAAGGCTAGAGCCAGGAAAGGCTGGGCTGCGGAAAGTTACCACTAATATCACCAAGGTTGATGACAACTTTAATTATGAAGTTGGAGGACAGGAGAGAAGGATTGTATTGTAGATGGAAAGTGTTATTGTATATGTGACAGTAATTATGGCACTGTAGTATGATGGCAGAAGAGTAGAAAGGAAGGAAAATCAAAATGTAGATGGGAGGGGGTTATTTATTCAGTCACTCCACATTCACTCATCCCTTTTCTGATTTTCCAAAGTTGGGTCCAGATGGGTTGGACTACAGCTCCCATCATTGTCAGACATATAGAAAGCACCTGTCCTTCCAAGCACTGTGGAAACCTTCATGCCAGCGAGTCTCCTTTCTATCCTCCAAAGTTGGGTCCAGATGGGTTGGACTACAACTCCCATCATTGCCAGACGTGTAGAAAGCACTGGATGGGGCTATGCCCTTCCAAGCACTGCAGAAACCTTCAGGCCAGTGAGTCTCCTTTCTATCCTCTCTTGCACTCCAGAGAAGCCCTTTGACCCCACGTATTTCTTCAGCCGGGCCGTCTCCAACGTCATCTGCTCCATCGTCTTTGGAGATCGCTTTGACTACGAAGACAAAGAATTCCAGTCCCTCATGGAAATGATGAACAACAGCTTCCGGAAGATGAGTGACACTTGGGCCCAGGTATCCCAGCATTCACTGGGAGGGGAACAGGTGCTGCCCCAGACATAAAGGATCTGGTCTCTGAGAAACAGGTTTCATAAGTGCACACCTGTATGGGCCTCTTTGTATGCATGCACCTTTTCATAGGCCAAAATCCCATGGTCTGCAGTGCCACCACATCCCTACCACATATGATAATACATGCCAATTTCTTCATCACATTTCCAACAGGCCTTAGAATAGTCTGAATTTATTATATTCTATTTCACCGGAGTCTTAGACCACCTTAAACTAATTTTTAATTTTTTCCCCTTTATTCTTACCAACATTAATCTTAAAACTCTCATCCTCTAAATTTTTATCCAGCCCTCTGCTTTAATTTCTGTCTTTAAATCATTTTCCCAAATTGATTTCAAACCTTCTGTTTCTGTCTCTTTTTCCTCTTGTTCTAAAATTAGGTGATAAATTCTACTTACTACTCCCTTCCTCAAAGCATCTTTCTGCATGTCTTCATGTGATGATAGAAATTGTTTGCACTTAGTACATTTTCTACGTTTGGCATTAGTTTTCAACCATTCATTTGTCCAACTATCTAATTAGATATAATTATACAGTACCATGATAATTTATTAGTTTGAAGTTTAACTATAATCTGATCCTTCAATCTCAGTTTAATCATCCAATCCTTCAAACTGACAACTTTCTTGTCCTTTAAACATATCAGATAAACCCTTCAAGTTTGCTGGGAAATTTTCTATTTCGGTCACTAATTTTAGTGGTGAAGTAAAGGGACACAACTTATTTTTATTTTTGTTCCAGATATTTAACATGTTTCTTAAAAAATAGTTATTCACCTGATTGATTGTACAGTATTTCTTTTTATTACATTAAACAAATATTTTCAATATTCCCATTTATTTCTGAAGATTCCATATCCCACCAAATTAACCTTCCTTTGTTGTATATATCTCCAATAAATCTTAACTGGTTCACTATATAATAATTTTTTTTTATATTAGGAATACCTAAACCTCCATTTTTGGTGCCTTATACCAATATCTTTTATTTATTCTAGATTTTTTTACCTTGATTACAAAATCCATTAATTAATCCCTGCGAATACTTAAAATCTTCTTCTTCTAATTGTATTGGGATTAACTGTATTTTTAATGCTGTGAAGTTGTACGACATATATGCCAACTTCCTGAAGTACTTTCCGGGACCCCACACCCAAGTCTATGACATTCTGGAAGAGATGAGGCTCTTTATTGCCCGGAGGGTGAAGCAGAACCAGCATACCTTCGACCCCAACTGCCCACGGGACTTCATCGATTGCTTCCTCATCCAGATGGAAAAGGTACGGAAAAGGATCGGTCAGTTGAAAGGTGGTAGGATAGTGGACACCTTCTGACCGGGAGCCAGAGAAGCCTATGAGCACCAGTTTGCTGACATCTGCTGTAGGCTTGTGTGATTTTTTAATTGATAATTTGTACACACAAAGGAGAATTCCAGAAGCCCTCCCTATTGGTCATGCTATCTGATGCTTCTTGGAGTCGAATATCTAAATTAGCTATCTCCTGTATAGCTCACCATCGTTCCTTGAGCTAGATCAGTTTTATTTTTATTTTGCTTTCAGGAAAAAGACAACCCAGCTACGGAGTTTAACATCAAGAACCTGGAGCTCACCACCCTCAACCTGTTCTTTGCCGGGACAGAGACGGTCAGCTCCACCCTCAGATATGGCTTCCTGCTGATGATGAAATACCCTAAGGTGCAAGGTGAGGTAGGGGAGGGAATACATACAGTCCTCCCCCCACCCCGTCCAGCTGTGTCTGGGTTCTTGGGAAACCCCAGCCTGGGATGGGTGGCAAAACCTCTCCCCCGTTTTCGGTGCTCCAGCCAACAGCATTGAGAGGTAAACCATCCATCCCAAGAGGTGAAGGCCCATCTGTGTTGGAGTTTAAAAATTGCTGCTATTTAGAAATGAGCAATCTGAGGAACTAATCTTATCGATTATGTTTGACAGCCAAGATGCATGAGGAAATTGACCGAGTAATCGGCCGTAGCCGGGTCCCCAACATTGAAGACAGGAGCCAAATGCCTTACACGGACGCTGTGATCCACGAAGTGCAGAGGGTCAGCGACCTCATCCCCATGGGGCTGGCTCACATGGTTATGCGTGACACAGAATTCAGAGGCTACCTCATCCCACAGGTATGGATGGTGGGCAGAGCTCACAAATCCACACAGAGCACCCCTTCAACCAACCCATAATTTTCTGAAGATGCTGGATATTGTGGGGGCAGAGATGTGCATTAGAAAAGATGAGTGATGAGCTTTCTCAAGGAACTGGCATATTAGGAACTGAATATTCACGTCAAGAAATACAGAGGTTTGGGGCATGTGGAGAGCTGGGACGTGGCCTCACGTGAACCCTCGCTTGTCTTCCTCAGGGAACCGAAATCTACCCGATGCTCAGCACCGTCTTGCACGATCCCACCAAGTTCAAAACCCCCAATTCTTTCAACCCAGAGAACTTCCTGGATGAGAACGGGCGCTTCCTGAAGAACGACGCCTTCGTGCCTTTCTCCTCAGGTACAGCCCTCCTTAGCAGTGGGTCTCCATGGAGCAGGAAACCAAGGGTAGCCAGGTGGGCCCAAGACAGGTTCTCTCTTCCATGCTGGACTTCTGCCTTGATGAGGCCAGCTAGGAAAAGGAGGCATGAACCCAGAGCCTTTAGTGCCAGCTTAGAGTCCCTTGAGAGGAATTCTTGAGATGTTCTGCAGGAGGTGTCCTGATCCCCAAACCCCCCAAAGTTCTTCCTGGCTGACTTTGCTCCTCTTTCCTTCGCAGGGAAGCGGATCTGTCTGGGAGAAGCCTTGGCCCGCATGGAGCTCTTCCTCTTCTTCACCACCATCCTGCAGACCTTTCGGCTGAAGCCCCTCGTGGCCCCCCAGGACATTGACATCACTCCCCAGGAGAGCGGCTTTGCCAACATCCCACCCTTTTACCAGTTCTGCATCGTCCCACGCTGAGTGGGGAGAGACCAAAGCTGATTCTCCCAGTCACTTGTATTGATCAGATTCTGACTTCCACAGGGGCAAGACCAAGTTCTTGCTCTCTTTTCTGGTTCTTGCGAATGTATTGTATTCATATGGGCATGCATGAGGAGTGTGTGTTTGTGTGTGTGTTTTCAAAATGGCTGCTGTGTTTTACCCCTTCCCTCCAGATGAGTCCTGTTGAACTGATGTGCTCTTGGCAGCCAAAGCGGGAAGGGGGAAATCCCGTCCTTCTTAATATTCCTTTGGGACCCATCCTCACCTTTCCTATTGTCTTCCACATGCAAAGAATTTGTTGCCTTTTGTACAGTATATTTTCCTCTATATATCTCTGTACTTACAAGCCTTAATAGTGTCTTGGAATTATAAAATTAAAAGCAATATATTTCACATTTGCTTTTGGTCATTTGCTCTGTTTAATCCAATGGCCTTGTCTTTTATTTTTGTCAACTTTATGTCTGCCAAAGTTCCCCCAGTGCTTGAGTTGAGACTGTGGGATGAAGTCCAACAATGTCTTAGATCCAAAATATGTTGCATGTAAAGATGACACATTGAAATAATTAAGTTGGTTATGAGCATGTTTTTTTTTTCTCTCTTTGTAGAAGTTTTTGAAACAGAGGCTCAATGGCCATTTGCCAGGGAGTCTTCACAGATGTGGGTTTCCTGTGTTGTCCGGGGTTGTACTTGACAACCTCTGGGGTATTATGCAACTCTATGATTTCAAGAGGAAGTCTGAATCTCTGCTACAGAAATGCAGCTCCAAGAAAAAAACAGATTCTTTTTTGAAGGGAGGTGTGTTTGTTTGTTTGTTTGTTTGTTTGTTTGTTTGTTTGTTTGTTTGTTTGTTTGTTTGTTTGTTTGTTTGTTTAGGGTCTGTTTGTGCCCACAGGACTTGCCTTCTCTCCTCCTCCTCCTGGAAGGCCAAAAGGACCATGTAAGGGCAAATGAGGAATGAGGAATGCTCCCACAAGATCTGAAATGCCTACAGATTTTCACAATCATTCTGAATCATTGACTTTGTCCTTAGGTTGTTCCTTAAGGAGAGAATAAAACCCTGAAAACACAACCCCTACTGACTCAACAAGTTGGAACTCCATGACCTAAAGATCTGGTTGCAGTTTTGTGGTGGAAACTCTTCTGTGTTTGGGACCCACCAGTACTTTTTCTACACATTGCTGGGTTGGTGGAACTGAAGAGGGCTCTTCCTGGACATCTGGACACAGATTGAATATCAGGGAAAGTTTCTTAACTGTTAGAGCAGTACAACAATGGAACATAATGACCTTGGGAGGTGGTGGGCATGCCAACGCTGGAGGCCTTCAAGAGAAAATTGGACAACTGTCCGTCAGATCTGCTTTGATTTGGATTTCTGCCTTGAGGAGGGGATGGGCCCCTTCCAAACTCCCAGATTCTATGATTCTGTGATGATGAAACTGGCCCTTCTGAGAAGGGCTCCAAGCCTCAAGAGATTTCTCCAGAAGAGGCATCAGCTGCCTTCTACGTCTCCAGACATGCCTGGATATAGTCCCCCTCTCTGTTCCTATCAAGTAGTTTAGGAAAGACAACTTAAGAATAACTTTTTGTGGATTTACATAACATGATTAAGCATTTCTCTTTCCAGTGATACAAAAGGGTGTTCCTTTGGACCAGTGCCACAAGAGATTGTGTTACTTGCCACTTATAGGGTGGATTCTCCAGCACTAATCCCATCTTTCCATTTGGCTTTTGTTCTTTACAACTCCTCTGCTTAATTGTTTGCTTAATTTTTTTCTTCTTCTGGGAGTGGAGGACTGCTCAGAGATGTTTGCTTGCTCTGAACATCCACATAAAAACATACCTTTGAGGTCCTAGATTTGTCCTTTCTTTGATTCTTCATGTTGTTTGGCATCTAAATATCCAGCTCAAGCCAGGATCCTACCCGTGACTGTAGCTAGATATATAGACGCCAAACAACATGAAGAATCAAAGAAAGAACAGATTTCTTTCTTTTTTTAAAAGAATACTGAAAATAAAATATTGAAAATAAAAAGGCAAGTGAATGTTATTTAGTTGTTTAAATGTAATAACTGCAGAATGGGAAGGGACCAGATGGTTCATTGAATTCAGACCCCCAATTCCAGGAGGCACCGGTGGGGAATTGAACCCCCAATCTCTGGCTCCCTAGCCAGAGACCTGAACCACTGAGCAGACGTAGTCATGGTGAAGATGCTTGCACATGAGACAGGTGAAATTTGGTAGATGAAGGCCAGTGTTCTGTCCCATAACTCCACCAGCACAGCAGGAGTAACATCATCATCAGTGGCAGGTGAGTGCTTATGAAACTGGCCCTTTTTCAATTTTGGGATACACTTAATTCACAAGCAATAAGATGAAGCTGTATGCACCCTAACACTGGGAAAAGAAGTACAGTATTTACTAATTGACCCCAATTTGCCACTGCTGGTGACATCTCATCTGCTGCGCTGGCGGAGCTAGAGATCAGAACGTTGGCCGTTCCATTTAAGAGCATCATTCTCAAGATCTGGCAACCAAGACTGCCCTATCTCCCCTTGGTCTTCTCTTCCAAAGGCTAAACACACCCTAGCTCCTTCAGTCTTTCCTCCTAAGGCTTGCTTTCCAGTCCCATGATCCTCCTTGTTGCCTTCCTCTGGAACTTGTTCCAATTTATCAGCATCCTTCTTGAAGTGTAGTGTCTAGAACTGGACATAACACTCAAGTTCTGCTTCCTTCTTCCTGGGTTTTTCCACCCAGGTGTCAAACCTTCTTTGGGAAGGGAAGGGAGAACATCCATACATTTTGCAAGGAAAGCCAAAATTGAAGCAATCTTATTCCTGGCAATAAGAGAACATAATTATGAAAAGAAAACATGGGTACTGTCCCAAAGCTCGTGTTTTGAAAGCCATGCAAATATCCATTAAAAAACAGAGCAACTGTTTGAAGGGAACCCCAGCGTGCTGGCTCTTGTCCGCATAACTTAGCTTCCCTTCACACCCTAGTAAATATTAGTCAGTAAGAATCAAGTGTTTGAGGTTTAGAGACAGTCAACATTTTCCCCGCCTAGGCTTCTGTTCGCAAGGGGATCATGTGATGGATGGGGTAAATAAGCACGAGAGAAAGAACAAACCTCACAAAAGAGAATGGAAGGGAGCTTTTCATACCGTGACAAAAGTCGCATAAGCTCAGCTGACCTGAGAGAAACGAGATCTCCTTTTACATAACTACTGCTGCAAAGCCAACCTCCCACCTGCTTTTCTGGTCTCAGAAGATCGTGGTCAAACTCAGGCATGACGGTTGTTGGTGCTCCTCCCCTCATATTGATTTAAAGATTTATATGCATTCTTTGTCTGCTAAAGAAAAGGAAAAAAGTCCCAAGAGGTGAGGAAACCCTAGAATCCAGCAAGCGATGATGTTTGCTAAATACCCATCACCTGTAACACCTCTGGAGTTGACCCAAATTTTCAGGGGCAGGCAAAAATTCTCCTCAAGGCCTTCTGCAAACATGCCTCTGTGCAGGGCCAAAGGAGGCTCACCCTCAGAAGCTGGAGGGTGTCGACCAGACCAGATGGGCGGGATATAAATCAAATAAATAAATAATAAATAAATAGAAATGTGCTTCAGGCAGACCTTTGTCAATTTATTTGCAATTGTCCTTCTGCTTACCGCTCCATGGCCAAAATTACAAAACAAGGCAAGCCAGAAGGTCAATGCTAGGAAGTGCTGCTGTGACCGTCAGATATTCTTCAGCCCTTATGGAATTCCCTCATTCTAATAATGACCTGAGAAAGCAAAGACGTCCATGGTGTCTCAAAAGACCGACAAGCCACCTGGCCCAGAATGTAGACTCCAGCAGAGAGCGAGCTTAGCTAGCAATGAATAACAATGGACTGTTGTTGTTGTTGTTGTCTCTGTATGACACTGAGAGAAGATCTCCACCTTCCTCCACAGCAGAGGTGGCCAAAGGTTGAGGTGAGCACAAGGCGAGGGACCCTTCACCGACCAGCAGGTTCCCATGAAAACCTGACGTCTCTTAGGATTGTCTGCAGAAAGCAAACACCTGTCCTAGTTCTTGCACAGGCGGCAGTCTTGCCACCTCCACCCAGAGATGCCTGCCTAGGAGGGAGGAGGAAGAGATGGCCCCTCTGCCCATCACCTCTGCCTTCTGGGACTATCCCAGCTCTGAAGGCAGAGGCGATGGGCAGAGAGGCCATCTCTCCCTCCGAAGGCAGCACTCTAGAATATCAGCTATCTTTTGTCAGATTCTCAAAGTGGGTAACCCAGGTGTTCCTGGACTAACACTCCCAGAAGCTTTCGCCACTAGCTGTGCTGGCCAAGGTTTCTGGAAGTTGCAATCCAAGAATATCTGGGGAATCCAAGGTGGGGAACCCCCCGTCCTGGAGCATCCACACAGACAGTTTCCCCTAAGTCCCACCTAGGCGTTACTTACCTGGTGGGACTCAACACACAAGGCAAGGGGGCACCTGGGCCCTCTCCCTCCCTCGTTGCTTTCTTTACATAGAGTGCAGCACATGCAAAGAGGAGAGGTTCCTGCTCACGAGGAGGCCCTCCACAGACGCAGGAGGGCCAGAAAGTCACCGTTCTTGCTGACATGGAGAGCCTCCGTCTCGGTCGGGACCTGTCCTCCTTCCAATACATTGCATCCTGCATAGGAGAAGGTGATCACAGAGGGGTTAAGGCCAGGCACTGGATCCAAGTAGCTTGCAACTTGCAGGCTGGGCTCACAATGGGCTTGACAATCACAATGTCAAGAGTTACCTAGAGGGGTGAGAAATCCTTTGGGGGCCATTTGGACCAGTCCTAAATCCACAACGCCACTGTCGTTTGGTGGCTTCTCCTCTCAAGACCAGTAGCCCAGCGGAGCTACTTTGGAATTTTCCCTCCGCTGGGTGGTGAGAGATTACCTTTTCTCCCAGAGCCACCTTGTGGAGGCTGCAGATCCCTACAAAGACATGAAGGAGATGCGGGCAGGTCTTGCTCTTGCCCTGCCCATAGCTTTTGCATCACTGACTCGCACCCATGGCAGTCTGGCTGAGAGGGTGCCTGCACTATACAGCCAGGTCAGTCTAACCCGCTTCATGCTGAGGAATCTTGGGGTTTATGTATAACATGACATTCACACAAAGCACATGGACTCTGTTTTCTAAGCTTGGCCTCTCTTATTCCTGGGCGGATCCTTCTCCTTAAACAGGTCGAGTAGCTTGTGCACACTGCATATGACCTCTACCAGGGAGTATTGCAGGGGTGTTTGCAAAGGGAAAGGCCAGGACATCCTTCTGCATCCTTGGCACGTGATGGGGTTCGAGGCAAATGAAAAAAAAAGCAGAAGAAAGTAATGCTGAAGAAACGGACTGCGGAGGAGCAAAGAAACAAGGCCCTTTTTCAACATTGCAACGAGCAATGCTAACAAGTTTATTTTCAAATACTGCAATGAGAATGAACAACTTTTTAAAAGTAACTTTCTAACCCCTGGCTCCATGCCAACATTGGGTGGAGCCAGTCACCTTCTTGAAGTCTTCTCTGCCTGTCTATCTGCCTCTCTGTCTGTCTGTCCGTTTCCCAGCCCTCCCCTCCCTCACCAAGCAAAGATTTGGGAATGACCGGTTCAAGGCAACAGAGGTGACTCTTCTCTTCTTTCTTGGCCAGAGGACTCAGGGATGAGCTTTAGAGGTGGAGAAGGGTCTCCTCAGAAGCCTTGGGAGGCCAGATAAGGAGGGTCTGAGAGGCTCCGAACTGGACCCAGGCACCCAAAATTCTCCATCCCTTCTCTAATCCATTAATAGCCCTCTAGCTTGAACTCTTGAAATAATGCCCCTCCTGCCATGAACAGATCAACGAACCATTCATGTACACAGAGATAAAGAATATTGGACTTTAATCAGCACACGCGCCCCCTCTCTTATCTGGGTTGCACAAAAGGATGCAAAGCAGAAAAGGCTTGCCCAACTTCCAAAGTTGGGGGTTTTCACTGTGGGGCAATATAAAACATCTGCCAACCGCAGGGAGCCTCGAGCACCGATGGACCTCCTTGGAGCAGCCACGCTTTTCGGGGCCATCTGCGTCTCCTGCTTCTTCATCCTCTCCGTATGGCGGCAGCTGCGCCAGGCAAGCAAGATGCCTCCTGGGCCCACCCCGCTCCCCTTCATCGGCAACCTGCTCCGGGTCGACAGGAATAATGTGTCCCGATCACTCATCAAGGTAAGCCCTAAAACAACTTCTTCCCACAACCCTAACCCAAGCCTCCCCTCCACCGCCACCAATTGCGTGTCTCTGATGCCAATTTTCCACTCTTGAGATCCTTTGAAAGGGCTGGGGGCCGGGCTCGTTCGCCCTTGCCCATCCATCTTGCTCTCCTTCCTTCTTCCTCGTCTTCTCCTAGCTCAACTCATCCCATGCCATCTTAGCTCACGATGACACCCCCCCGCTCCGATTCTCCAGATTTAGCCCTTTTTCTCTTTTGCTTAGGAATTCAAAAGAAAGACAATCAATCAATCAATCAATCAATCAATCAATCAATCAATCAATCAATCAATCAATCAAAGCAACCAGGCTCTTATGTGTTAGCATTTGTTTTTCAATCAGCCCTTCCTTTGGCTCCAAGCTTCAGGATCTAGACTTAATAAAAGCTCCGAGCCACAGGCTGTGTGACTCGCACCCTTTTTTCTATACAGCTCCAGTTAAACGATCAGTTGGGTATCCCAAGGTGAAACGTGACCACCCAAGCTGGTTCTGCCAGCAATAAAAGCAGCTGCACCCCCTTGGGTTGTTCTTCCTTTCTTTGGGCTTCTGTTCCCTTTCCTTTCTTTTTTCTTTTGCAAGAGGATTTTACAGCGTCTCTCGCCGAGTCTTTCTTATATGATCCATGAGTTAAGACAAAAACCACAATTGAGTTATTCCTCTATCAAATAATGTGCTAAGTTTTAACGAAAAACAGAGCACGGTGCTTGTTCTTTTTCGTGTTTAATTTGCCATGGGAAATACCGCGTCAGGCCATTTGGGGTGGCATCTGTCACCAGAGGAAGATGGCCACGCTCACAGAGGGGATAGGAGGATGCTGCTCCTCCACCACCACCCCACCCGTGCAGATTAGCTTGCTCAGTCATGCAACAGATATGGAAAGCAAATGCAAGCTTCATTTCTTAGTCTGCTCACCCTGAGAGACCTCTCTCTGCACAGAGAGTTGGAGTGGAACAAGTTCTTGAGAGCTTCGGTGGAGATCTCTCAATCCTCATGCAGGTCCCCCTCTCGACATGCCTCTTTCTCCTGCCACTCCACTTCTTCTTCACCTGTCTCTCATCCTTCGACATGTGTACCTTTGTTTCTCAGCATTTCAGACAGGACCCTGGGCGCCTTCTTTGCTCTCTTTTTAAAAACAGATGAGTGAGGAATACGGCCCCGTCTACACCATCCACCTGGGGCCGCGGCGTATTGTGGTGCTCTGCGGGTATGATGCTGTGAAGGAGGCCCTGGTAGATCAGGTGGAAGATTTCAGTGGTCGTGGAGAGCAGGCTACCTTTGACTGGATCTTCAGGGGTTACGGTCAGTCTCTTCTTTGGCAGGAGATAAACCTCAACAATGGCCAGAGACCAGGACATTTAGTGGTCAGGACTAGGGCTCTCAGGACTGATTTCATTGCTCTCACCAAGTAAGCTATTCCAGACCATTGATAATGTCAGCTGGTAATAAAACATTATCTGCAATGGAGAAGTTGTTAATAAACTCTCTCTGCCAGCTCCAGCTTGCCGTCTTTTATATTTATTCGCCATTTTTGCATCACTTTTACTTGCTAGCTTCTATGTGTGTCTTTATTAGGCACTGCAGTTATTATTCAGTGTCTGAAATCCAGTAGTAACGGTAAGTTGCCATGAGAGTTTGATGAGCCAACTCCTTGGTAAGTTCCACTGATTCAGTGGGCCTACTCTAGAGGTGACTTACTACTGGATTTCAGTCTGGGCCTAACAAATATAGGCATATCTTAGAGACAATGTGCCTGTGATGGGAATGAAATTCAATGCAGAAAGTGAAAACAAAAATCTCTTAGGACAAGAAGAAAGTACCAGCAGAATTTAGAGAAATGTCAAAAGAAAGAAAGAAATGTCGAAAGAAATGTCGAAAGAAAGAAAGAAAGAAAGAAAACAACACAAAAAGAAAATGGGAGATCTTCCAGACATAGAAAATTCAATCACATGCTTAATTGCAACTTTTAGAACCAGTGAGCTTTCTTGATCCTCACCTTGAGTCCACCTTTCCTTCCCAGGCGTTGCCTTCAGCAATGGGGAAAGGGCCAAACAACTTCGCCGATTCTCCATGATGACCCTGAGGAATTTTGGAGTGGGGAAGAGATCAGTTGAAGACCAGATCTTGGAGGAGATCCATTTCTTACTAGAAGCCCTGAGGAACACAGAGGGTGAGATGGCTTTGGGCATCCCCATAAAGATGGCTCCGGGATCTATTGGTGTCAGTTTTGGTGCCAATTTCATGCCACTTCCCCAGGCTTGTCACAGTGGGAGACTGGCACATGGATTTCCGTTACTCTCAGATTTATTTTTGCTTTGATGTGTTGGGTTTATTGCTTCAGCCAGCAGGACAGCATTTTTTTTCTTCCTGCTCCTAGGCAAACCTTTTGACCCAACCTACATTCTGAGCCGTTCAGTGTCCAATGTTATCAGCTCCATTGTCTTTGGCAACCGCTTTGACTACCAAGACCAGGAGTTCCTCTCCATGCTGACCAAGTTGCTGGATATTTTCCGATTTGCCTCTACTCCTTGGGGGCAGGTAAAATGGAAATGGGGTGGAGAAAGGATGTCCGGAGACAGCCGAGTCAGCAAAGTGGTGTTGGGTTGAGCTGGATTGGGGTCAAGTTTATTGAGTTTGTCCTGATCTTCTTCAAGAGACAACGAACTGGTTGATTAGTTCCCTGGTTCATACGGCTTTAAGACAAAACAGCAGCTCCACAATTAGAAGCAACTCTACCTACATGCTTGCTTTTCCTATGAGTTTTGACTGTACAGATGAGAATGCGTTGAAGCAACACAAAGGATAATATTTTATTACCCTTGAACTGTAGAACTGGCTTCTCATCTGTCTCTGCCCAATGATTTCCATGACAGTTTGAGAACAGGAAGGAAGGAAGGAAGGAAGTTCTAGATTTCTATTTCAATGTTTTGTTCATGCACAAACTTTCTCACCAATTGCAATTGTCTAACATCTGTCACGGGTTTATAAATAAATTAGATAAATAAATCTGGTTCCTTTTCTTTTCTTTTCCTCCAAACCCAACCTCCCCTTAGCTCTACGACATGTTCTCAGGGATCATGAACTACCTGCCGGGGCCGCAAGTCAAATCCTTTGAGGCCCTCTCAGGACTCGATGAGTTTGTCGCCAGAAAGGTGAAGGAGAACCAGGAGACCCTGGCTCCTAATGCCCCACGAGATTTCATCGACTGCTTTCTGATAAAAATGCAACAGGTACCACCGTTTTCCTCTGCTTATTCTGATGGCCATTCTTGGTAAGCCAGAAATGTCGTATCCACTGCGCCCACCTTTCTGAGGCAGACTGAGGGCAGCATGAGAGGGACCTGGGTGGGTGGGGGGATTGGTCTTTAAAAGCACTGCCAAGGTGCTGGCTTTCTACCGGGGGGGGGGTCTTCTCTGAGAGCCTAATGTATTTCAGACAGTATCTGTTGGTGTGTTTCATGGGGTGCCTGCCATATCTCTGCTGTGTCCCGTAAGCTTCTGGATAAACAGAGGTATGGCAAAGAAGGCTTCGAGGGCAGCCTTCAAAGGCAAACATAGAAGACGAAGTAGCTGTGGGGCTGATGATTAAATATCCACAGGAGAGCTGAGTAAAAGGCAGGAGCCCAGTCCTCCAAACCTGGGCAGCCCAGTGTACCTGTGAAACATCTACCTGCTTAAACAACCGGGGTGTACCTAATGCTAGCCTAAGGTATACAACTTGTAAAGCATTTTCCCCCACCCCCATCCCATTTATGTTCCACCAAGGAAAAGGAAAAGCCCAACTCTGAGTTCACCTTGAAGAACATCATTGCGACAACCCTCAACGTCTTCTTCGGGGGCACAGAGACCGTCAGCACCACCCTGCGCCACGGCTTGCTGATCCTGATGAAATACCCGGAGGTGGAAGGTGAGCATGGAGGAAGGTCAGAGGCAGGCAGGAGAAAGTGGTGGGGTGGGGTGGGGTGGCCAGACGTTGATGGGGGGCCACAGCATACCTCCCAAGGGGGAGACAATGCTGAAGGTAGGCTCTGCCTTCCGAACATGCCGTGTGCTTTAACTGATGGGCCACACCACCAGTGGGAGGGCACGGAGACTTTTAAAAGCTGTGGTCTTGGTTCAGAGGACTTCCCAGGGAGGTCAGGAAGTCTTCGGGGTCCAAGACCCACATCCGAATCCAAGTCTTTGGTAGCAAGTCCCTAATCCCTTTTAAAAACAAACTCCCCCCCAAAGGAAAAAAAGGGGAGGAAATGTGTGGGTTCCCAGTCACAAGCGAATCCAAGTCATTGGGGGCAGGGGAGAACTGAAATCCGACTTGACAGCAATTAAAATGGGGGGAGCAAGAAGTGGCAGAAAGTCCTTTGAGGTAGAGATAGAGGGAAGAAGAAAACAGGAACCTGCATACAGAGTTGGGAGAGGCAAAAGGGGAGCGGAGAGGAGGCCCTCTTGGGTTACACCTGTTTGTCCCTTCCAACCCTCCAAGTGGAGGTCGTGTCTCACACCTTGTGGTGCCCCATTTCCAATATAACCAACCTATCCCTATACAGAGAAAATCCACGAGGAGATAGACCGTGTGATTGGCAGAAACCGCGCCCCCAGCATGGAGGACCGGAAATGGATGCCTTACACGGATGCCGTGATCCATGAGATCCAGAGGTTTGCTGACGTGCTCCCCATGGGCTTAGCGAGGCGTACAATTCGGGATACCCAGTTCCGAGGATACACCATCCCCAAGGTATTTCATGCTATTTATTTATCAGGGAATTGATACTCCACATGTCTGCAGAAATAATTGCAAATTAAAACTGTACAAATTAGAACTAGTGCGCTTGTTCCTGGAGGTGTCTCATCCGGCCACAGTGAAACATGGCGTTGTTACATCCCAGGTGCAGTACCGTCATCTGCTCTGTGTGGGGCTGCCTTTGGAAAGTGCTCAGAAACTTCAGCTGGTCTAAAACACAGGAACATAGGAGAGGGTCTTATCTGTGGCTGCTCCCAGACTTTGGAACTCCCTCCCACTGGAGGCCAGCCTGGCCCCATCTTTGTTGTCCTTCCACTAGCAGGCAATGGCCTTTTTCTTCAGGCAAACCTTAATGACTGGCTACCTGATTAGGTTTTTTTTTTTTAATGGACGGTTGTGCCTTGCTGTTTTGAATGTGTTTTTGATGTCGCTTTTATGCACTGTCTTTTAATGCAGTATTTGTTTCATCCTTTTTACTATGTGTATATTTATATTTTTGGTTTTAGATGTTGCCTTTTAGTGATGCAAGCTACCTTGGGTCCTTCTAACGGACAAAGGCGGGGTAAAAATATTTTAAATTGATAGGGTTAAATAAAATAAATCCCCGAAGCAGACCGCAAAGTTTAGGGCTCATGGCCAATAAGTCTTCCTAGAAGGTCTCTGCCTCAGTTGTTCAGGATCGCTGTTACAGAATTGCAGTTGCCCTGTAAATGAGGGGAAAGCCATAACAGCTCAAAGGAAGTCCATGGCTGGCTCGTGGAATTCATTGCCACAAGATAGAGCGACAGCTGCTAATCTGGACAACTTTCAAAGGGGTCTGGATCAATCTGGCCGGAATCACACAATTTACAAATGCCCCCCACTGGTTTTGTAGCAGGGGAATAAATGACCTGCAAGAAAAGAAGTTGTTAAGAGAGTACCGCTTGCTGGCCTTCCATCAAACCGTTTCATCCTTTCTCGTCCTCCATGCCGAACAACCTTTCCCCCCTTCTCTTTTTTGCTTTGCTCAGGGTACGGAGGTGTTTCCCCTCCTGGGATCTGTCATGAGGGACCCCAAATACTTTGCAAGACCAGAAGTGTTTGACCCCCAACATTTCCTGGATGAGAACGGGCAGTTCCAGAGGAGCAGCGCTTTCATGCCATTCTCTGTTGGTGAGTCCCCTTCGGACGTCTTGTAAACCCACCATGCTGAGAACCAGCTGGTAAGACAAGGTGCTACGTTTCTTCCTTTGAGGAATCCAGGGCTGAGAAGTCCCGCCCACTCCCTCAACGCTTCCTGCTTTTGGAAGAGCCTGGAAAAACTGGGGTTCTCCATGCACGGGGACACTCCACATGATTTTCTTTCCCCAGGGATCTGAGTGACATGGAAGGCCTCCTTTTCTGACAACATCTCTCCATGTGTAGGAGAAGATAAACAGGAAGATGCCTGCCTCTGTCCTCGCTCATTCAGATTCACCCCATCCAGAAGAGGCTTGGGATATGCTTGCATATAAGATTAACCTCATTCTGAACAGCGCTTGCATATGAGTTGATATATGTATCATGCTCATTTCAAGCATCCAGAAAGCACTATGGTTGCCAGAGAGAGAGAGAGAGAGAGAGAGAACAGACACATTTTGCTGTTCCTACCCAGAAAAATGACTCTACGCAAACCAAGAACACACACACACCAAGCCCAAAAATAACGCTGCTGTGTCAAGAAATTCTCTCTCTTTTCTTTTTCCCTTGCAGGAAAACGGTATTGCTTTGGAGAACCTCTGGCCCGCATGGAGCTCTTCCTCTTCCTCACCAGCATCCTGCAAAACTTCCGCCTCCATCCTTGTGTTCCTCCTGAAGAAATTGACGTTTCGCCCATGCTTTCTGGGTTTGCCAGCCTCCCGCCTGCCTACGAACTCTGCGTCCTGCCCCGCTGAAGGGTTGCAAGGGGATGGAGGAGTAAGGCCTGATCCGGTCTGAGCCGGTCTCTTCACTATTTGCTCCACCCTTTGTGTAGTGCTTTTGCAACCCTACTGATAGGAGCGGAATAAACATTGGATACGGTTCTCTCTCTCTGCCTCACAAGCTGCTACATCCTCCATTCCAACCCAATGTTTCCTCCCATTTCACTTCCAGCCTCCTTTCCTGCTGGTCAAAGTCTTTCTTTGGACCAACACTTCCTTTCTCTCACTTCCCATGATCCGTCAGTCAACTTCTTTGTCTGGATGACTTCACCAGGAACAGTTGGAACCATTATGAACATTCCGCAGCTGCACCTCAACTAGAGCCTCTGGGTGATAGAACCAGCCCCATACCAGAAGGTCCAGCTTCCCTCTTCTGAGAAGAAGATTTTATACATCTGGAATCATCCAGAGGAACATTTCAACATTCTTCTAGGCTAACTAATTAGCTCCTTGTTTTCGCCTGCCTGTTTTGACATTTTAACAGAGAACAATGGGCAGCCTAATTATTCCTGATTTTTTTTCCCCAAGCCATGCATATTTCAAAAGTCCTTTATGGTCAGGAAATGGATCTTGTATATTTGAGGGAAATGTTTTTTTCAATCTTCTTGCAACATTATCCCTCCAGACACTTTTGCTTCATTTGAAACCAAGAACTCCGGTAAAACATGGTCACTTCTCCTCTGAGTTCCCCCTTCCTTTTTCCATCTTTGCTTCACTCTGAAAATGAATTTCATCAAGGTTAGCCAAAAATTTCTAAACCTCCTCAAACATTCCCTTGTACTGAAACAGGAGTTACTAGTTTAGGGAAAGATTTTCCCAGGTTTACACTCCATCCACAAAGTTTGCATATTCCGTATTTGTGAGTCTTTCTCACAATCGGTGTCACTGTTTTCTATGAAAATAAAAGGGAAGCTGGAATAAACATAAGGTTGTAAAATAAACACCTGGAGTCTGTGACAGCTACAGGCCCACAAGCCATACAAAGATGGGAATTAAACCCCGGTCACACACACCCAGGTGCCAGCTCTGCTCCCTCATCTGACCCGACAGGACCCAACAATGTCACACAGAATATCTATCAGGGGCCTGCTTACTTGATCCTCTGCTAATGTGATCTATGCCACGCTTTGCCAGGAATGCTTTTCGGTGCTCTACATAAAGAAGACAAACGGGACCATCTCTGTGCAAAAGAATTACCGCACATAAATCCAACATCCAGAGCGGCAACACATAAAAACCTGTTTTGGAACGTTTCAAACTATCTGGACACTCTTGGAATGAAATGAAAGTCACTAGACTTAAAGAAGAAGCAACTGAGATGAGGTAGATACGGGTGCTCGAGACCCCCTTGAATGGACCGTGTATCAACCAAGTATCGAACAGGACCACGTGAAGGACAAACCGCTCTGGACTGAATCGGGATACATTTCAAAAGCCTGGTATTATCTTTCAGGTGAAATTAGGGAATGTGTGAACAGCCCAAGTTAGTACAACTAATCCTGGGCTCAATGAACCAAGGTCTGAATGTCTCGGGTCTCTTTCATCATATGGATTCAGATCAAGAGGATGTTACAGCTGAATAAACAAAGGTATCGATGAGTATAAACAACCTCCACGTCAGATGCTACATCGGCTGATCAGTGGGGCAAAAATAAAATTAATATGGCACATTAGCCCCATTACCAGCAAAAAAGGCTGGTTGGAAACCTTTCCTCCCAGTTGTTTACAACGACCCTCCTGCATAACCACCAGGCGTTTCTCAACTGGAGCCCAACCATATCATGGGTTGTCAGTAGACAAACTGTGGAGAAGCCAGAAATAACTCATTAACCACCCAAGGGGGGAACGGGATACTTGATGGTTGGCCCAGCCCAGGATTTGGGCAATAGTTAACAAAGAAAGGGGGAACTTTGGATTGAAGCAGTGCAAAGGTCTGGAGCCATCGCTGCAAGTTGGACTCAGAGGCTAGAAAAGTTGGCATTCAGTTTTTTTGACTGGCCAATGCCAAAATCTCATAGCAAACATGTCTGCACCGATGAGAGGAAGTTTGTGAGCTGCAATTCGGAAAAGTAACTTTCCCAAGTTCCAGCTGTACTACAAACTCCAGTATCCAAACATCCTTGGCCAGCATGGCTAATCCGTGCCAACAGCCCTTCAAACTGGGGATAATGGGAATTCAGCCTTTAGAGCTGTGTTCTCTTCTTCAGTCCTCCACCCCAACATGGGACAAAATTAACTCTGGAGTTGCATGCTTTATGGTTTCTCCTCTCCCTCCCTTCTTTCCCTCTTTCCCTCTTTCCCTCTTTCCCTCTTTCCCTCTTTCCTTCCTTCCTTCCTTCCTTCCTTCCTTCCTTCCTTCCTTCCTTCCTTCCTTCCTTC